TCTCGCTTACGGCCATACCACCCTGGACACGCCCTCTAGTGTGAGTTAGAGTTGTTGCACTACAGGAAGTGAGTTGTCTGAAGGAAGAGAGAGGCTCTTCCATTTTGGCAGTTTTGTTTTTTAGTTTTAGTATTACAAAGTTTACTTTAATTGTTTTTTCAGCTAAAGATTATTTTTACTAACCCCTGGGGTTAAAAAACAACAACATGGACACAACAGAGAAAGAGAATAGACTGGAAACAAATGAACCAAGGAACGGGGAACAAGGAAATCCTACAAACATATTTGAAAGGACTCGAAATGAAGATGACGGAGAAAACAGCAATGAGACATGGGCAACAGTTGTTTCAAAGAAAAAAGAAGGAAAAGGAGGTGGCCAAGAAAAGGAAGGGGATCTACAATCAAATGCAAGTATTGAAAGTGAAAAGAATATTGAAGGACAAAGGAATGCTTTAAGTCAAAAACAACAGATGCTGAACAAACTAAAGAAGCAAGCAAGGTATCAAAGAGAGTACAAGAAGGAAGCCACACTAACAATGATGGTAAGAGACATTGAAAACTCAATTATAAACAACATAATTAAAGTAGTGGAAGACAAAGTCTGGATTGGCAAACTACTTGGACCGAGAAGAAAAAACAATAATGAATTTGAGCTGACAATGGAAAGTGATAAAAAATGCGAGATATTGATAAACGGACTGATGATTAATGGAGAAGAATGTGAAGTGAAAAAGCTGTGTGCAACAGAAAAAATGGTATCTTTTCTGAACTTGCCAAGTTATATACAAGATGATGAGATACAACAGAAACTAAGTAATTGGGGAGTAACTGATATGTAAAAAATTATTGTAATATTTTTTTTGCCATATCGCCCAGCTCTACTATACAGTAGTGAGAGCAACATCAACTGCATTACAAGTTCAAAACAAAAACAACACCTGGTACCGTTTAAACCATTGTACCAGAGTTCCTAAGCTAAGAAACAGTAAAAAAAAATTGCGATCTAGCACAGGAAGTACATAAGCAGCATATAACAAGTAATGACTCTCTTGAATTTCAACATGGACAACATGAACTGGTTGGAGGAGAAACAGCGGACCTGTCGATTTATGTAAAACCGCCGGCCTCTGGGGAACAACAGGAGGACCCTACTATGGAAGGAAATCATGCTACTGTCAATGATAATACAGAATGCATATGTGAACATGAGTAAAGAGATAATCTTTCCCCAGATAAAGGACAATCGGATAATGGAATGGAATGAGACCTATCAACAATCGACTTCTCAGCTTTACTGGAAAGGGAAAAGCTGACCGATAAGCTGAAGGGGACCACTGCTGCATCAACATTACAAATATTAACCTCCAGAGGTGGATAGTAGTCAAGGAAAATGCTGGAAAAGACAAACACTTGAGTAATTGGTTTGCCTCCATATTTGGATCTTGGGGACAATGGTTGATAAAGTTGACGTATTTGAAGGTTACCATACTTGTTTTAGCTTAACTTTGTTGCTGTGTTGTGTCATTCATCAGATCAATGCTAGCCAGTGCTGCTGCCACACACATGGTTACTGTGCAAGTACAAGGAACAGTGCAAGCCCACCTCAACAGTGACTATGGCTATGAAAATATGCTTCCAAAATCCTCAGATTGGTCCATTGATGAGAACGTTACCACAAACCTGCTTGGATGAGTATCAAACCTTTTTTTTCTTTTGTTTTTGAGTGTGCCGTTATTCTTGTTTTTATGTTATTCCTGTTTTGTGGAAAAGTAAGGGAGATTTTCAAGCGTAGACAGACCTTTAGAATAATGAATAGTGTAGGCAGGTAGTTAGAGGATATTTTGTTTTTTATTTTGGCACTTAGACTCTTTTACATATATATGCCAAAAATTATTCCTATACAATGCAAGTAATCTTATGTTGTTTTCTATTTTCTTTTTCCTCTCGTTCTTTTTTATCAGAATGACATGAATGAAAAGAGGGTTTCAAGCAGGTCATTATCTGTGCTACGAGACAGAAGTGCAAACAGAAGGACCTGAAATTAAGGATATTAATCCTATAATCTACAATATTATCTTTTAATACTATATTGGTTATGTTTCTGGGTATGAAATGGACATTTATCGAAGCTGCAGGGTTCACATACTCACAGGGAAAAAGGACTTGAACTGAGTGCTTAATGGAACCAACTGTCACGACCCGGCTCAAAGGCAATGACAAAATCAAAGGGACGACATACACCAGATGGTTTGGTACCAAAAGTATTTATTTAAACATTATCGAATAATAAAGTGCTCACTTTATGTAAGCCAAAATCAAAGATTAACCAAAGCTAAAAAGAAACTAAACAAAACAAACAGGAGCAAAAGCACGGCTTTCCAGAAGCCAACACTGCTGGCTTTTATAGAGGGGAACTCAAGTGTTCCCAATTGAGCAGATGAGTCTCTGTCCTTCCCGCTTTCGGCCGATCAGTGGGTGGGTCAAAGAGACTTGTCACACCAACGATCATCTTGAAGCTGGCGAATGCTGTAAGAGTAGGCTCTACTGATGGCTTAAAAGCCTGCTGCTCGCTCCAACACCAGACAATACTTAGTAGTACCTCTGGCAACGTGGGAGCAATCATCTTAAGACCAGTAGACAGTATCTTTTACTCCTTTCTAATCAAATAAAGGGGGAGATGTTTGGTTCCGCCTCTCCACTGGAGTACAGCATAGGGAGGTTGACATTTGGTAAAGACTGTGAAAGGCAACTTTTTGTTGCATTAGTGAGGTTGATTGTACTGATATGTTCGTACCTTATGCTGCATTCCGGTTGAGGGTTAGGAAAGAGACTTTCTTCTGATATAGTCCCTCTAAAGGCTGATTTATACTACTGCGTCAAGCCCATGCTTATGCTACGGCGCTGACGCATAGCCCTACGCCGTGGCCGTCGATGTTGCTGACGTGCACCTCTCAAAAAATTTAACTACACGTCGTGCACAAGCTCTGTGATTAGTCGGCTTAGTAGCGCTGACGAGTCTGATTGGGACTGAGAGCCTTGCAGGCCCAAAAGAGCGATTGTTTACAAGTGTGAAGTCCCGTGAGGAAGCTCCAGATAAAAAGTTTGTTTTGTGTTTACCTCATAGTAAAGTTGTTGCACGTCCGCCGGTTTCTGCTTAAAAAAAGAGCGAGTTTGAGTCACTTGTACATTCAGGAAGTGTTCAGGAAAAAAAAAGCACCAGCGAAGAAACTCAACACAGAGGAACATTTATACCTCACTGCCAACTAGCGTTTCGGAAGTGTTAATGCAGACCAACAGAGACAGCGCGCAGAAGTATAAATGCACAGCTACGCGTTGAATATTTAGCAGACCAGAATATTTTTTCCACAACAATTTACAATCACTTGTCCAACTGTCTTTGAATAAATCATAAGGTATGAACTCCTATTTTACAAACATACAAGGGCAATTAATGTCTATTTGCTCCGTGCGCTGCTCCAGATAGACAAACAAGCTACATCATCCTTTACCTTAGGTTCTTCGCAACAATATTAGTCCATTTTCAGCTTTTTCTGTTCTTGTGTGAATGAGTAATCCCCTGCTATGTCTTGTAAGTGCCAAATGCAACAAATTTGGGTCATGAAATTCCAACATTCAAAAAAATACGATAACGTATTTACAAAATGACCCTTTTTTTTATACTAGTCATTTTTCAAAATCTTTTGTTAGACTTTGCACATTACTTTTCTAAAATATCTATTTATATATAATTGCAGTTTATATATATTTGTACATTATTTATTTTACATTTAATGTGTGAAGGCCGTTTGGACATTGAAAAATAAAATGGAAAAAAGTACTACTGTGCCATTTGCTTTTTTGATATAGTGTTATGATTTTGATGTGGTTATGAAAAAGTAAAATTATGATTTTTGTGATAATAACCCTTGTAATATCTTGTTTTTCACTTTTGACAGGTAGGAAACTTGTGTTGTTTTTTCCCACCCTTCGGTTAAACTAAAATGATTCTTGCATACTACATGATTAAGACAAAATAATTTTTTCTCGTGCGTCCTGACATATGCTGTTAACAAACAAAAACTGTCCTCAGTTTGATAGAACACACAGGGCCTGAGTTATGCACTAAGACTTGCTTTAAAACAAAAAAAAACAAAGCTGTTTGTGTTGAGGTGGTTCATCATAGGACAGAAAACATATATAAAAATAGTTAGCATTTAACAGCAGTGTTTTTTGTAATTTCAAAGGGTTTTCTTTAAAATGACATCAAGATATAGCATTTATTGTACTTTATGTGGGTGTGGTGAGACTTTAAATTTAGGTAGGGGGAAATACTTTTTTTTTTGACATGTTACCTTCTTCTAGTTGGAATAGAATAACTCTTGCATGCATTATTATAGGGAGAAATGTATTTTCTTGTGTTTACTGACACCTGCTGGAAAAAAATGGAATTTTGATGGAGCACTCAAGGCCTGAGTTCCACATTTTTTAACTTCAGTTTATATAAAACAGTATTTTATGAAATTTCAAAGGATTTCTTTTAAAATTATACCAAACTTTTGTATTTATTCCTATGCATGTGGTTATGGAAAGCTTTTTTAAATCGGAAGGCCAAATTAAGGCGGAAATACCCAAAATAGCCCAAAAGCTTAACAGGTCAATTTCTGATGAGCTGCTGAAACTCATCCCACACTGAAGTTGCGGTCACACTAGAGTTTGAGCATGCAACATTTTGTTGTATGGCGCTGCGAAAAGGGGCGGGATTAAACAAGATGATTAGACATTAAAAAAAGTGAGCGATTGTCCAGAGAGGTCATGTTTTGATCTTCGATTGGTCTCACACAGTCAAGTAATGCGATTTCGCAGGTCAGAGTTCACCAAGCTTGAACTCTGCAACGCAGTGAACTGCAAAACTTGATACACAAACTTTCGTTTACAGTCTGACGGATTTGCGTGCATATGAATGGAAGTCTATGGGGAGAAAGGTCCAGTGTAACCGTGGCTTAGGTGCAAGTAAATGGTTTCTCTCCAGTGTGGATCCTCATGTGTCGGTTAAGTTGTGATGATTGTATGAAACTCTTCCCACACTGAGTGCATGTAAATGGTTTCTCTCCAGTGTGGATCCTCATGTGGTGATTAAGGGATGATGATTGGCTGAAACTCTTCCCACACTGAGTGCAAGTGAATGGTTTCTCTCCAGTGTGGATCATCATGTGTTGATTAAGGTTTGATGATCGGCTGAAGCGATTTCCACACTGAGTGCATGTGAATGGTTTCTCTCCAGTGTGGATCCTCATGTGGTGATTAAGGTGAGATGAGCAACTGAAACTCTTCCTACACTGAGTGCATGTGAATGGTTTCTCTCCAGAGTGGATAGTCATGTGTTCATTAAGGGATGATGATTTGCTGAAACTCTTCCCACAGTGAGTGCATGTGTATGGTTTCTCTCCAGTGTGGATCATCATGTGTAGATTAAAGTTTGATGATTGGCTGAAACTCTTCCCACACTGAGTGCATGTGAATGGTTTCTCTCCAGTGTGGATCATGATGTGTCGGTTAAGTTGTGATGATTGTATGAAACTCTTCCCACACTGAGTGCATGTGAATGGTTTCTCTCCAGTGTGGATCCTCATGTGGTGATTAAGGGATGATGATTGGCTGAAACTCTTCCCACACTGAGTGCATGTGAATGGTTTCTCTCCAGTGTGGATCATCATGTGTTGTTTAAGAAATAATGAGTGTCTGAAACTCTTCCCACACTGAGTGCATGAGAATGGTTTCTCTCCAGTGTGGATCATCATGTGTTTATTAAGGTGAGATGAGCAACTGAAACTCTTCACACACTGGGAGCATGTGAATGGTTTCTCTCCAGTGTGGATCATCATGTGGTAATTAAGGGATGATGATTGCCTAAAACTTTTCCCACACTGAGTGCAAGTGAATGGTTTCTCTCCAGTGTGGATCATCATGTGTTTATTAAGGTATGATGATTGGCTGAAACTCCTCCCACACTGAGTGCATGTGACCAGTTTCTCTCCAGTGTGGATCCTCATGTGAATCTTAAGATCGCCTTTTCTTCCAAAATTCCTTCCACACTGAGTGCAGGTGAATCGATTCTTGTCTCTCCTTTTCAAAATACCATCAGTCTGTAAATGAGTTTTTTCCTCAATTTTGACATGATGTTCCTCCTCTTTCCTCCCCTTATTCTCTTCAATTAGGTCTGAAATAAATAAAACATTAGTTTTCATTAAGTCTTAAAACTCTCATCAAAAGCGTAAAGGTGAAAAGACACTGGAAACATTGGCTACACACTGTAATTTTGATGCACATTAAATGTAAAATAAATCAGATCATATGTTGTTTAGTCCATTAACGTGTGCACATTTAACCAGATTCAATTCAATTCATCTTTATCTAGTGCTTTTACAATGTAAATTGTGCTGAAGCCACTTAACTTAGAAGTTCTAGTAAATTGAAACTGTGTCAGTCCAGCTTTCAGAGTTTCTCATAAAAGTCATTTTGTTCATATTAATAAGACACAGATTTGAAAGCTGTAAGTGGCCTATTTTTATTCATATATATTCAGAATTACAACAAAACGTTTTTCTAAAATTTGTAAAGCAGACAGGGAATACTTGTTCATTCTGTGCATGACTGGTAAACGCATCGGAAAAAAAAGTTCTGAGGTAACAGTTGAACAAACAGCTGAACATTTGTCTCACAAACATGAGACATACCTGTACAGCATCTGCATAAAGGCTGAAATATGCACCTTTCCCCTTGTGTGCTGTTGGGTCATTTTCATCCATTCTGGGTTGATTTTGTGGATCAATTTGGTCAAAACTTTCTGTGCAAATGGATTGATATTTGGAAACATTTCATTTTTACATAATCTAGCATCTAGCATATTATTTTATAGCTATATTCTATTGTAACATGCTACGTCAGTTAGCATTAAATAATAAATCGACTTTCTTATAAATATACCTAAGATGGCTGGAAGTACACATATAAACCATTTATGGGCGCAGTCGTGTAAATGATCAGTTGAAGCCTTTAAATATTTATTCAGATCTTATTTTCATTCAACAGCAATAGCTGGATGCCTTCATCCATATTAGGGATTTCCTGGAATGTTCTGCTACTTTTGTGAGGCATATATGGAATTTCTGCTCAAGTGTAAATGAAACAGTCATTACATGCATTTAAAGTGCTACAATGCCCACATCAACCTATTTTGAGGAAAACTGAAAAAAAAAAACGTAAGAAATAATTTTCTACTTAAGAAATAATTTATTGTACCATTTTTGATACAATTGTTGTTATATCAAAAATAGTAGCCTATTGAACATCAATATATAGCAAAGTAATGAAGTCAGAAATTCCAGTATCTGGACAACATTACACCTTAGTTAAAAATTCTGTCCAAAAGAACATGCTTGCAGCTTCGTATCACATCGAATAACAACTCACACTATAAAATAAATTATATTTTTCAGATTTGAAGACAATTACATTTTCAAAAAAACAAACAGAAACTGCAAATCAGGAGGAGATCGGAGGCTCAAGAGGTATGATATGACTCATAACAGACTAGTAAATGAGAAGTGGGTTTATTTATAAATGTTTTTTCCATTTTGATGTTACGAGTTACGCTGGATCTAATCTCTAAAAGTGATATTTAATTAATCTTATTCTCTATATCTAACATAGGGCTGGACAATAATATAATATCAATATATCACGATAGATTTTTTTTTCAATAACGGTGATATGATTTTTAAACCAATTTCCGATACATTTGAGTATATGTTTTACATATTTTTTATCATATCCATCTATCTATCTATCTATCTATCTATATATATATATATATATATATATATATATATATATATATATATATATATATATATATATTAGGGATGTAACGGTATTGTAAATACCGTCATACCGCAAATTAATTTTTTTTCGATATTACCGTAGTCGCATGACTCGTTAAAACTATAGGTCTTCTGAGAAAATTTGCTCAGGCGAATGAAGCGAACGGGAGGTACCGGAAACTACAATTCCCATCAGCCCAGGCTTGGCCATCATCCCTTGCGGTCTGTTGTCGCTACAGATCCAGTAATGCGGAAATGGAGTGTGCTGCTAGAAGCGGGGATCAAAAAGAGCTGGAAAACCCTAAAGCGGGTGTTGTCGCCGCGCGCGTACTGAATAGTGGTGTTGTCGCGCGATTTCTTATCAGCTGTGTTGTCGCGCGCGTACTGTAAAGCGGGGACGGAGGGTGTGTCGCGTCGCGGGGGCACTTTTGATCATTTTGGAAGGGAACTTTCTATCCAAGACTAAAAAGGGCATGTGCACTGCACAGGTTGAGCACTGTGTGTGCACGTGCCTGCAAGTTGGGGAATACGTCCCCCAATACGATAATAATCAGTCATGGGGACTGCAGAAACACAGCACACTGTTCAGATTGATACAGACATGAGACCTCTATCTCACTCATATCTTGTCCTCTCAAGTGGGGGAAAGACAATGCACAGCGTTACCCACTGCTGTCAACCTGGGCCAAGTCATATCTCTCTTGTCCCAGAAACCTCAGTCCCAAATGAGAGTTTTTTTTTTTCTGTTGCAGGGGACATTGTAAATACCCAGAGATACCAGCTTTTACCAGATTATATTTATATGATAATTTTCCTTTAAACCCATCTCTATCTAAGTAAGTGAGTGATTAAATGTTGAATGTGATGAGTTTTCAACAATACTAAATTGAAACCTAATTTTTTTACATGGTTTAATATTTTTTTGTTATTAAAATTGAAGTTCCTGTTTCAAAGCTTACAGATAGATGACTAATTTGTATGTCATTGACACTTTTGGCACTTTTTTGGAATATTTTCATAAGTTTTGTTTTTTCCTGTAAATGATTCAATAAATACCGTACCGTGACATTTATACCGAGGTATTACCGTACCATGAAATTCTGATACCGTTACATCCCTAATATATATATATATATATATATATATATATATATACATATATATATTACACTTGCGTGATGACAGCGATCAGAAGTTGGTTAAGCTGCTCTGTCACAGAAAGCTATAAAATGAGCGACCTGAATACAAATATAGAGGAACAAGCTTCCACAAGTAAGAATGCAGACAAAGTAGTTGATGTGGACGTTGTTCGGCTTTTTAAGTTCCGATAAACTTTTTATTTCGGCGCTCTGCAAACTGTGCGGGAGAGCGATGCCGACTAGCATCGTAAACACATCAAATAGGTTCATAAAAGTTAAAGTCAACCTGTGGCCTCACCATCCACCTTCCCGACACCAAACACAGAAGGCTATGAGGCGCAGTGTAGGGTTTCGCATGTCTACACTTGAATATACACATATAAATTTCTCGCATATAAACATATACTATGTTCAAAACAAGTATGACACTTGCACATATATAAACCTACTGCATGCATACACCCACATACACATGCACAGACATATAAACTTGATCCTTACATAAACTTGATCCTTGGATAAACACCCAAATTAACACACACACACAAACAAACACACACACACACACACACACACACACACACACACACACACACACACACACACACACACACACACACACAAAAACTCTCTGCATGCTGGTATAGCACGCAAGGAAACTTACAAAATAAAATTCACAAATATATGTATCAGGAATCTGGTTATTTCAAAGCTGATGAAATAGAAAGAATTTGATTAATAGAAGTATTAAATCTGTTAAATAATGAAAATGTGTTATACAAAATATTAGTTTATATAAATAGACAATATAAAAAAATAGAACTATTTTATGTTAAATCTTTTAACTTAATTAGGTAATTACATACACGAAAATAGTCAGAAAGAACCCTTAAAGGACGTTTAAGATAAAAAGCAACCAGAACTTTAAATATACTCAAACAACTCTTTTCCTTTGCAAATATTAATGTAGCCTATACTCTTTTTGATTTGCTTTTTAATTATAATTATTATTCTTTTTCTATTTTTTGACGATGTGGATTTTGGTATTATTTTGACCAGAAATATTAAACTGCAGAAAACAGTCACGCTACTTGCTCTACAAACAGGTGTGTTCATGACTATACATACAAATAAAAAGAATTAAATGAGAAAATATGACTTTGCGACATCAAGCATCATTAGGCATGGGCCAGTATAAGATTCTGACAGTATGATATCCTAAAATATATTTTCTTCTGAGACACTTTTAAAATATTTTTGAGCAGTTAACATGTCAGGCTAAATAATTGAAATGAATCACAGATTTCTTTACGATTTAAAACAGCCTCTTTGGTCTTTACTGCAGGAGATACTGTTGTCCTAAAAAACAAAACATTAAAAAAACTTACATATACTGTAGGAACGGTGCAGCAGGAAATGTTGGCGAATTTAAAACCTTGACTTTTCCAAACTGCGGTAAACCTTGAATATAGTTATTGCCCCATGCCTCAGCAGCATAACACTGATATTTAGGATCTAAAAATGTATTCTTTAAAAAAGTCTCAAGCAAAAAGATTCCAATGGCGCCGCCTGTTGGTGCATGAAGAATATGGTCTATATTCTGCGACTGTAAAATATTTTATAACAATTAATTATTTTAGTGTCCATTTCATTCAGGATGCTAAATATTGGGGGCATCAACATTTTTTGACATACTGTAAACCAGAGTTTCTGCAGGTTTTACAAAGTTAAATTTAAGACTTTATGATATTTTTAAGACCATTATGAATGAAATTTTAGACTAATAAAGGGCTAAAGGCTAAAGAACTTTTCAAATGGCCCAGATAGAAAAGATTTTTATTTGCCCCATCAATATAAAATTTATTTTTAAAACTAAAAAATTAACAAATGTTTTTAAAGTTTTAAAAACTATGACAAACTAAATCTATGCACAACAATCTGTCCAGGTTGATATCCACAGCAGTAAATACATGGAGCACGTTTAAACAAATGTTATTGTGAGGAAAATAATTAAACCATTATAATAAAGAGTTAAAAAGACCTTTTTGAATAAAAAGTTGAAAGTTTTATTAAGTTGAATTGTTGGTGATTGAATTGGTTTTGGCCAGATTGGGTAGAAAAACATGAACAAAGGAAAATAAAGAAAAAAAAGACACAATACAGCACAATATTTCAGTAAATTTAAGACTTTTTAAGGCCTAAAATGTTAAGTCTGTTATGAGAATACTGTAGGTCAAATATCATCAGCTTAGTTAAACCTTTTATTTATTTATTGTTTTTATTTATTTTATAAAGCACCAAGGACACTTTACAAACAGCAAAAGAACAAGAAAAGCAATAACGTTAAGAAGGTAGAGAAAATGGGAGACTAATAACACATAAAAGAAAGACAAAAGACATGAGAACAAGTGACGAAAGAAACTCATTCTGTCTTTTAATGAGTGCTTATGTGCATTTAGGAGAACTAGGCAGCACACATAGAGGTAAAATTGGTTTTATATCAGCAGATTCAGACTTCCCCCTTAATGATATAATTTCATAAAAGTATTATTTGCAAACTCTAAATAGCGAAATCATATTAGCAGCCAATGACTATCAAAGTACAACATTGCTCACGGTCAAATAAACAGTGTTAATGTTGTTTTCAAGCCACACTTGCATGCTAATTCCGATCAAATATTTAAAGTAACATGGTAAACAATATAGAGACTTCTAAATGAACGAATGTGCGAATATAAAACCAACTTTACCTCTAGGCAGCACACTCAGTGCTGCAAGATGGATTAATTTAGTATTCTTATTATTAAAATATATCTGAATGAGGATCAAATGACTGAGTTGGTGTTTGAGAATGAAAACCAACCTGTTTGTTCCTGCAGATCTTCCTGTTTGACAGTGAATGTTTCTTCAATCTTCACATCTTCACTCTCCTCTTTAATAAAAGCCATCTTTATAACAGTGTGGAGATCAGTCTCTTCAGCAGGAGTTTTTCTCTGTGTTTGGACACTTTATCCTGTTTAAAATGAACAAAACAATAAAAATGTCCTGTTTAAAATAAATAAAACAATGAACAGAAACAAAATAACTTCTCTTCAACACTTGCTTCAACAGTTTCTTTTAATTATCAAATTATTTCATTAAAGTATTATTTGCAAACTCTAAATAGCGAAATCATAATAGCAGCAAATGACTATCAAAGTACAACATTGTTCAGTTAAATAAACAGTGTTAATGTTGTTTTCAAGTCACACTTGCATGCTAATTCAGATCAAATATTCAAAGTAACATGGTAAACATATATATATATATATATATATATATATATATATATATATATATATAAAAGAAATGGAGGACTAGTTTTTATCAGGTTGTTTGTTTGTGGCTATTGTTTCTTGCTCAGACTTACCTGATTTATTTTTGTCAATCACACTCATATAAAGAAACTGTTGAAGCAAGTGTTGAAGAGAAGTTATTTTGTTTCTGTTCATTGTTTTGTTCATTTTAAACAGAATAAAGTGTCCAAACACCGAGAAAAACTCCTGCTGAAGCGACTGATCTCCACACTGTTATAAAGATGGCGTTTATTAAAGAGGAGAGTGAAGATGTGAAGATTGAAGAAACATTCACAGAGAAAAAGGAAGATCCGCAGGAACAAACAAGTTAGTTTTTATTCAGATATATTTTAATAAGAATACTAAATTAAATCCATGTTGCAGCCTTGAGTGTGCTGCCTAGTTCTCCTTAATGCACATAAGCATTCATTGAAAGACAGGAATGAGTTTCTTTTGTTACTTGTTTTCAGGTCTTTTGTCATTATGTATTATTAGTCTCCCATTTTCTCTACCTTCTTAAGGTTATTGCTTTTCTTGTTCTCCTACTGTGTGTAAAGCGTCCTTGAGCACTGTCGCTATATAAAATAAATAAAAACAATAAATTAATAAAAAGTTAAACTGAGCTGACGATATTTGACCTACAGTATTCTCATAGAAGATATCTGCCATTACAGTGATAGTGTTGGTTTGGTACTTTCCATTTGCATATGTCAGGTTGATCAAAATTCCCTTTTTTCATTGACTTCTTTATAGGTTTAAATTTGTTTCTAGTAGTTGTTACTAGTTCTCACAGATAGTATCAGAGTTAGAATTAAATCTTTATTATAATAACTAATTATCAGGGCTATTGTATTTAAACAGGATTTCTGCGGAGACTTAAAATGTCTTAAATTCTAAAATCTAAAATTTGGCCCTAAAAAGTCTTAAATTTACTGAAACGTTATGCTGTAGGTCTTAAAGCTTTTTTAAACAAGTCTTCATTTCCCTGTGTTCATGTTTTGTTACCCAATTTGGTCAAAACCCACACAATCACCAACAATCCATCTCAATAAAACTTTCAACTTTTATTTAAAAGGTCATTTTTACTCTATTTATCATAATGGTAAAGACTGCTGAGGATATCCACCTGGACAGATTGTTGTGAATGGATTTAGTTTATTATAGTTTTTAAAACTTTTAATACATTTGTTAATTTGTTTTTTTTATTTTAAAGAAAGTTTATTTTGGAAAAAAAAGTGTGTGGATCCAAGTCGAGCTCTCTTGTTTTTACACAATATTTAAGATATTTTGCTAAGAAATATCTAAAATATTTTAATGTTATTATTAGTTTTGATTTATTATTGTATTATTAAATATTTTATATAAAAATATTTTTTGATAGGACAAATAAAAATCTTTTTCTTCTGGGGCATTTGAAAAATTCCTTGGTCTAAAATTTCATTCATAATGGTCTTAAAAATGTCTTTAAAAGTCTTAAATTTTACTTGGTGACACCTGTAGAAACCCTGATTTAAAGTATGTCAGAAAACGTGGATGACTCTAATTTTAAATATGCTGAATGAAATGGACACTAAAATAATTAATTATTATAAAACATTGTATAGTTTTCTAAATTATATGATGTTGCTGTGGGACAACATGACGCAAAATAAACAAATTATAGTGGAACAATAACGTTTAGCATTGCACTGACTACAACTGGCCAACAAACTAGTCTAAAAATGACTTTTGCTGTGTAAGAAATGGATTACAGCATGCTGATGATATGCAAACGTTTGAGTGTGAAGTTCATCAGTATTGACCATATTCTTCACGTACCAGCAGGCGCCGCTATTGGAATCTTTTTGCTTTTTAAAGAATACATTTTTAGATCCTTAAAACAGTGTAATGCTGCTTGTCTTTGATCTTGTGGGGTAAACCGGAGCACCCAGAGAAAACCCACGCCAGCTTGGGGAGAACATGCAAACTCCACACAGAAATGCCAACTGACCCAGCTGAGGCTCGAACCAGCAACCTTCTTGCTGTGAGGCGACAGCACCACCTACTGTGCCTCCTCGTCGCCCGACAACACTGATTTATTTGCATATTTTTTATGCGATATTCCAGTTTTGCAAATTAATTTAATTGGCATTTTTGGATGGAAACATAGCTGTAAGGTTTGGAGCTTACGCTGCTATTTTGAACCAATAGTCGGAAACAGAAAGCAGTTGAAGGATGGTGTGTTTAAATCCATTATTTATCTGACTTTATTGTAATTAATCTGACTCCATCAAAGTTGTTATTATCATTGATAAAGAGAAAGAATCTCAAAGCTTAAAGCAGGTAAAGTTGTTTATTAAGTTACATGTTTAAATATAGAATGAAACAAACTAACATACTGTATAAAGAAATTAGCTGTACGTGCACTGCTGAGCAACAAAAACAGTGAAATTGCCTTTGTTAGCATATGAGGCTACGCAGCCATATGAGGGAGAGGCAGAGTAAAAGCCATTCTCCCAGATCAACACTTACCATTCCTTATTATACCCTGAGTAAAGCATTGTCAAACATGAGTGAAAACCAACCCCCAAAACCAACTGAACATGAGAGCACAGCAGAGGAGATAAAGTGGGTGAGAACATTAACCTACTCTCCTCAGGCCATGACTCAACAATAGTAAATAAATTGTATATTGAAATACAAGCAATCAATGTCTCTGTTGATTTTAGCACTACAACGCTTAAGTCATAAACTGTCAAATGACTCCATACATGATAAAGCTATTTGAAGGAAGATCAAGGGCAGATGAATTGTGGATGGTGAAAAGCAAATGGTTACTGCAAGCAAATGGCAGAAATTTGTATTTGAGCTGTGATCAACTCTGCCAGGCCAGGAGGACCCATCCCATTCTTGGAATGTCTCAGAAGCCCATGATTAGCATAGAAGGAATATATAATAGAATAATATATTATTTTTTTCTCATCCTGCTTACCCATTACCTACATTTCAGTCACACAAAGAACAAAGTCACGTACGAGAAAGGCTTGTTCTTCTTTAATTAATAACTAGCTAAAATTCACAGACCTTCGACAGGGACATGTACTGTAACTAGATTATTGGGATTATTACTCTTCTAAAAACAATGTTTTAGTACATTCTTATTATTCAACTATTTTTATTGATTTTTCCAAAGTCTTTAATTTTTCCACAACACACATATTGAACAACAAATTAACATGGTACATAGCTACAGACATACTCACACCCCATAAATAAAAATAAATTAATTAATAAAAATAGATAAAATAAATTAGAAAACTAGGGATAAACTCTCACCAAGGATATAATAACCTTCAGTTATTATAGAGTTCTTTAGACAGTTCTTTAGACCACTTCATATAACATGGACATCATACCCCTTTGATATGAGTCCATATTTACCAATTCATCTATCCAACATGCTTATGGTTGGTTTTGTGAAGAAGACAAGTGTTTTTTATAACGAAACTATGGACTTGAAAGTACCATAAAGAGCCCATATTATACACGAAATAGGGTCATATCTTGGTTGTAAGGGTCTCCAACAACAGTCTAATATGCATGCAAGGTCAAAAAACACTTTCATGGTCTTATAATCTGCATTTATTTTTACCTAATTATCCCAGCGACTCCTGTATGAATCGTCCAGTGATTCATTTGTTCTCAAACCCCTCTTTAGCGTGAAGCTAATCTGCGCTGATTGGACCAATGACAGTCTGTTGCGATTGGTCAACTGCCTTCAGTGAGAGAGTGAAATGCCAAACAGCTAATCAGCAATATAAAAGTAATCACAGTTCATACACGCTCGATAGTGTAGGCGTGGATTTTAGCTGCCAGTGGGTCAATGTAAATACAGACGGTTGACTTGAAAATACCGACGACTAACTATTTTATTGTGCAAAAACAGTTGAGGAGATCTTCTAGCTTGTCTCACTCTGCTCTTTTCACAGACACACACACAAACACATATTGCCCTCGTCCTAACACACACATACAAACACTTAACCCTGCTCCGGACGAAAGCACGCGCGCACACAAACAGACACACACACAAACACTTAACCCTGGTCCGGACGACAACGCACACACACACACCTCCGGACGACAGCCCGCGTACATGCACACACACACAAACACTACCCTCCTCCACGGACCTCATTAAACAAAGCAGCATGCGTCACGTTTTTAACATGGCTTTGCATCCGATATGAGAATAAAGCGAGTTAACCTCATACAGTACACGCGGTTACAAGTGACAAATCACAACTAAATACATTTGCAAGCTAGAGTAAACGAGGCAACTTTAATCGCCTGTACTTACACTTCAGAAATGGAGGAAGAAACCCATCCTGACATGTCCATCAGTGAGTTACTCTTTACTGATCCTTCCTTTAACAAACGCTGATGAAGTATTCTTTGTTGCATGTAGTTTCCAGAAGTTTCCAGTAGTTTCCAACTGCTTGGCTATAATGCCGAGGTTTCATCTTTGGGTAGAGACTCAATAATATCCATCTGCAGTGTGACTCCAATCGACCGGCATGTTTGCGTGTGTGTGTGTGTCTGGGTTTCTGTGTTAGAGGGCGGGGCCGCAGGTTTCAAATCTCCCGGGTTTGCGCGTGCGCGTAAATAACAGAGAGAAAAGTCTATGGCTTGGGTGGCTGGAGTCGCTGATAATTCACTTGACTTTCCTCATGCACTGCCTGGTGTAGATGTCGTGGTGGGAGGGAAGCTCACCTCCTACTACGCGTCCAGCAGTTCACACAATCCTATGTAGGCCTTTGCGATTGCTGCTGGTGCTATTTACATACCAGGTGGTGATACAGCCACACAGGATGCTCCCCACAGTGCAGGTGTAGAACGAGCTGAGACGCCTGAGGAAGAAGAGGCGTTGTTGTGCCTTCTTTAGCACTGCGTCTGTGAGAGCAGTCAATGTCAATTCCCCAGCAATGTGTACTCCAAGAAACTTGGAAGTGCTGACTCTCTTCACTGGTGTCCCGTTGATGGTGATGGGGGTGTGTTCTCTATTCTCTCTCCTGAAATCCACCACCAGCTCCTTGGTTTTGCTGATGTTGAGTGAGAGGTGGTTTCTCACACCACTGCGTCAGAGTGTGCACCTCCTCTCTGTGAGCCGTCTCATTATTATCTGTGATTAGGCCCACCACTGTTGTGTCATCAGCAAATTTAACAATGACGTTGGAGATGTGTTTGGCTGTACAGTCATGTGTGTACAGGAAGTAGAGGAGTGGACTGAGAACACAGCCCTGTGGATCACCAGTGTTGAGGATCAGTGTGGATGAGGTTATGCTTTTCATTCTGACCACCTGGCGTCTGCTTGAAAGGAAGTCCAGAAACTAGTTGCACAGAGAGCTGCGTATACCCAGAGCCTGGAGCTTCACCACTAGTTTGGCAGGCACTATAGTGTTGAATACTGAGTTGTAGTCCACAAACAGCATTCTCACATATGTGCTTTAATTTTCCAGGTGAGACAGAGCAGTGTGCAAGGTGAAAGCAATTGCTTCATCAGTGGAGCGATTATTCCTGTAAGCAAATTGCAGAGGGTCAGTGTGAGCAGGCAGTACAGAGCAGATGTGCTTTTTAATCAGCTTCTCAAAGCACTTGCTGAAGATGGGTGTCAGAGCAACTGGATGCCAGTCATTTAAGCATGTGGTTTTAGATTATTTCGGTATGGGCACAATAGTAGCTGTCTTAAAGCATGTGGAAACCACAGGCCGAGAGAGCGAGAGGTCTGGGCCGTAGCTTTCAGGATGTTCCGAAAAGATCTCGTTACGTCCACTACAGAAATAGAGTCTGCTGGCGGTTTCGGTATCAGCCGCGGAGCGCACAGTGTGTGGGTGCTGTCCTGGGCTTTAAAGCAAGTGTAGAACGAGTTGAGCTCGTCCGGGAGAGACGCAGAAATGTTTACTGTGGCGGGTTTGTTACTTTTAAAGTCCGTAATGTAATTAAGTCCCTGCCACATACTCCTCCCCTCTACCTTGTACCTCTGTATTGATGTTTTGCTGTTTTGATAGTTTATCTGAGGTTGTAGTTTGCTTGTTTTTGTTCCTCAGCATTTCTGGATTTATAGGCGGAGGTTGACACTGATAGGGCTGTTCGAACTTCGCCATTAATCTATGGTTTTGGGTTAGGGACAGATTTTAGGACAGTTAAGATATGGACAGTTTTTGTTGGGACCATGTCTTCTATATACTTTCTGATGAAGCATGTAACGGTGTCTTGAGTAAACTTTAGGCCGTACTCACACTAGGTACAGTTGCCTCGAACTGGGCCAAACCATGCTTGTCCCCCCTCCCGTCTCCCCCGACGGCCCGCACTCACACCACAAACGGGCCTCGGCACACTTACATCATTGCTGCTGCACTGTTCAGTGAGAAGCGCTCTCACTCACTCAGTAGCACAGTGGAGATTTCTCTAGTTATATCGTTTCAGTCGTTTGATATGCAGTGACATGCAGTCAAATATTTCGCTAAACAGTCCTTAGGGATGCAGTGACACGCAGTCAGATATTTCGCCGAACAGATCCGCCACTTTTGGCGCTTATAAACAGTCATAAAGCTCTCGTGCTGCAGGAATGAGGAGGTTTGCCGAAGGCGCACAGCTGTCGTGCAGTGAGGTGTCTGCGTCTTTAATAAATTACGGCAGTTTGTGTACACTGAACAGTAAGAATGATTAATAAATCCTATGAAACAGTCCCTTAAAGTCTCGTCTCGCTTTCAGTTTCGGGCTTTGGCGCGTTTTGCCCAAGTGACCCACGCTCAGGCCCACCTCTTCCAACCGGGCCAGGGCCAGCCAAGTGAACCGTGCTTGTGCCATTCAGCGCATTCACACTTCTCAAACAATCCGGGAAACGGGCCTGGGCATGGTACGGATGGCATAGTGTGAGTAGGCCCTTAATGTCGTCATCAGAAGCTGTCCAGAACATCTCCCAGTCCACATGATCAAAACATTCTTGAAGTATGGAATCCGATTGGTCCGTCCAGCTTTGAAACCTCTTGAGGGTGGGTGGTTCCCGTTTCAGTTTCTGCCTGTAAGCAGGCAAGAGCAGAACAGAAGAGTCATCTGATTTGCCAAACGGTGGGTGGGGGAGGAATTTGTTGGTGTCCCGGAACGGAGAATAGCAGTGGTCCAAAATACGGTCACCACGCATGTTTGTGGTGATATGGTGATAGTATTTTGGAGCAATTTTCCTGAGATTGGCGTTGTTAAAGTCCCCTGTAACAATAAACGCTGCCTCTGGGTGTGTGGTTTCCTGGTCGCTTATGCTCCCATTCAGTTCCCTTAGCGCCTGCTCTGTGTTGGCTTGAGGGTGGATGTAGACAGCTGTATTTATAACAGCTGTGAACTCTCTTGGTGCCCAGTGTGGTCGGCACCGAAGCATAAGGTTTCAGATCAGGAGAACAAAATGATCTAACTGGATGTATGTTTCTCAACCATGAGTTGTTGATAAAGAAAAACACCTCCTTCTTTGCTTTCCCCTGTCGGTTCTTTCATTCTATCCACAGTATCTTATCCATAGTATTCTATCCATAGTATTCCCTGTCTGCTAAACAAATTTTAGAGAAACATTTTGTTGTAATTATGAATATATACAAATAAAAATAGGCCATTGTTACGTCCCCCTCGTTCGAGTTGCAACATAAAAGAGCTCAGACAATAAAAAAATTATATATGCAACTTATTCATTATACACAACTAATAAAGCAACAAATCAAGAAACAAACAAATGTCTAGGGGAAAATGAAGAAAATAACTAACTTTAACTACACATAAATAATGCCAAACAAAACCATAAGGTTGCCAAAATAAAGAGATAGTCTTTATGATAGGACGGCCAGTAGACACACTATCCTACAGAAGCTAGCTCACTTTCGCATTTATATGCTTTGAACCAATTGGGGAGCAACCATGGCACCTAATCAGGATCTGCCACATCCAAACTAGAATACTGGGGTCGTCACACCATTTATACCTTTCAAATCTGTGTCTTATCAATGTGACCAAAATTTCTTTTATGATCAATTATGTAAGAAACTCTAAAAACTGGACTGACACCGTTTCAATTTATTATAAGTTCTATGTTAAGCGGCTTTGACAGTTTACATTGTAAAAGCACTAGATAAATAAAGATGAATTGAATAGAATCTGCTTAAACGTGTACACGTTAATGGACCAAACACAATATGATCTGATTTATTTTACATTTAATGTGCATCACAAATACAATGTGTGTTGCCAATGTTTCCAGTGTCTTCACTTTTCAGCTTTTGATGAGAGTTTTTAAGACTTAATGAAAACTTTTTTTTTTTCAGACCTAATTAAAGAGAGTGAGGGGAGTAAAGAGGAGAAACACCATGTTAAAATTGAGGACAAAAATCATTTACAGACTGATGGTATTTTGAAAAGGAGAGACAAGAATCGTTTCACCTGTACTCAGTGTGGAAAGAGTTTTGGAGGAAATGGCAATCTTAAGATTCACATGATAATCCACACCGGAAAGAAACCATTCACATGCACTCAGTGTGGGAAGAGTTTCAGCCAATCGTCTCACCTTAATGACCACATGATGATCCACACGGGAGAGAAACCATTCACATGCACTCAGTGTGGGAAGAGTTTCATCCGGTTATCATTGCTTAATCAACACATGATGATTCACACTGGAGAGAAACCATTCACATGCACTCAGTGTGGGAAGAGTTTCAGGCAATCATCATACCTTAATGAACACATGATGATCCACACCGGAGAGAAACCATTCACATGCACTCAGTGTTGGAAGAGTTTCAGCCGCTCATCAGACCTTAATCTACACATGAGGATCCACACTGGAGAGAAACCATTCACATGCACTCAGTGTGGGAAGAGTTTCAGCTGCTCATCATCCCTTAATAAACACATGAGGATCCACACTGGAGAGAAACCATTCACATGCACTCAGTGTGGGAAGAGTTTCAGCTGCTCATCATCCCTTAATAAACACATGATGATCCACACTGGAGAGAAACCATTCACATGCACTCAGTGTGGAAAGAGTTTTGGCCGCTCATCATACCTTAATCAACACATGAGGATCCACACTGGAGAGAAACCATTCACATGCACTAAGTGTGGGAAGAGTTTCAACTGCTCATCACACCTTAATCGACACATGAGGAACCACACTGGAGAGAAGCTATTCACATGCACTCAGTGTGGGAAGAGTTTCAGACAACCATCACTCCTTTATCTACACATGATAAGCCACAACGGAGAGAAACCCACAGCTTCGGTGTGGGATGAGTTTCAGCAACTCCTCAGACCTTAATAAACACATGATGACCCACACTGTAGATAAACCACTCACATGCACTCTGTGTGGGAAAAGTATCAACCAATCAGTAAACCCTAATGAACACATTAAGATCCACTCTGGTGTGAAAGAGTATTTGTGCTTTGAGTGTGAGAAGACTTTTATTACAGCTCTAAAATTAGAACTGCACCAGACGTTTCACACTGGACAGTAGTGATGGGAAGTTCGTATCATTTTACTTAATCGGATCTTTGAGTCTCATTCATCAAGATGACAGAATATTTTTTCGGAGTCACGTGACTGTATTGGCGGAGTAGCAGCTCAACATTTGGTCTCCGCAGCTCAGTGGTATATTTTTAGTATATAAAATAAGATATATAACGGCATATACTTTAAGACCTTGTGAATGGACATACGATCATGCCCACTACCCAGAAGAAGTTGAATCTGTCGGCAAAAACCTCTAAATCGACGGAGATTAAATCGCCTCAGGAGGACAGTCAATCAACGATCATGGCGGACCAGGCGTAGTCGTTGCTGAGTCGAGCTGAGACACACAGCTTGGTAGAAAGAATATCAACAGAGGTGCTTAAAGGTGTCAAAAGCTCGTTTGAAAAGAAAATCGACCCTGTTCTTAAGAAACTTGAGGAATGTTCCCTAAAAATTGGGACTTTGGACACGCGAATTACTGAGGTAGAATGCCGCGTATCAGACTCCAAGGATGCGATGACCACCTTTAGTGTGAAACTTACTGATCTCGCGGAAAAACTGGCGTCCGCGCTGGAAAAAAATAGACAATCTGGAGAACAGAAACAGAAGATGCAATGTGCTGGTCGTCGGTCTTCCAGAGGGATGCGAGGGCAGTAATCCGATCTCTTTTTTCAAATCCTGGTTACCAGAGCTGCTACAGGTCAGTTTCAAAGGTGAGCATGTTAAACTGGATCGATGCCACCGCGCCCTCACTCGCCGCCCACCGCATGGCCAGCGACAACTTTCAGGATAAATTTCGGATCATGCAAGCGGCGAGACAAACATGCACGCTGTCCTACAACGGTGCTTCAATTATGATATTCGAGGGCTTTTCTGCGGCGGTGATGAGGAAAAGGCAGGAATTCTACCATGTTAAACAGCAGCTTAAAGAGAAGGGAATTGTCTTTGCCATGTTGTATCCAGCAGTTCTCAGGGTCAAGGTGAACGGTCAGGAGAGGTCTTTCAAGGACCCAAAGGATGTCACAGCATTTCTGGCGTCTGCCCCACTACAGAGCGGCTCACCTGACCGCACTGCTACTGACTGAGCATCCTTTTCCCATCCCAGTAGGGTTTTAGAGGGTTTAGCTGTTAAGATCGGACATTTCGTTTGAGGTCTACATTTTATTATAACAATTTATTATCGAAAATTTAGTATGGTTTCTTTAATACTGACAGATCCATATGTGATTACTTTTTCATTGCCATTTATGTCGCAATATTTGACTGAGCTGCAGTCCGGAAGTTTTTCTGTTACCTAAAGGTAGCTTATCGAAGCCTTAGAAAGGTTTTTTTATTTATTTATTTTTTTGCTTGTTTTTCGTGTGCTGGTCCTGCACCTTCTCTATAACTAGAGGGAAGCTAGCTGACGGCCAAAATGAGCGTAACAGACCAAAGTCCTTTTCGTTTCGTTAATAGCTCTTTTTTGTTCCAATTTTTTTGATGTACATAGTTTTTACTTGATTCTTCTAAAATTGTGCAAAGAACGATTTTACCCCTGCAGTTTTTTTTCTTGTTTTTTTTCTTCTTTTTTTTCCCTGCGTTTTCTCTCATTTTGTGGCTCCTTTTGTATTTTATTTTTTGACACATAATGTCTAGTAACTCCAACGTTAAAAATTTGTAGTTGGAATGTGAGAGGGATACACAATCCTATTAAGAGAAAGAAAATTCTTAGCTTTCTAAAGAAAGAACAGGTCCATATAGCCCTATTACAAGAAACCTATTTATCGTCTGCTGAGCACGCTAAGTTAAAACATGACTGGGTCGGACAGGTGTTTAGCTCTTCTTTTACTACCAAAAGCAGAGATGTTGCCATCCTAATTAATAAATGTTTACCCTTACTTGAAGTTAAAACGGTCTCAGACAAATCAGGAAGATATATTATGTTTAGAGGCTCTCTTTATAGGCAAGACATTTCAGTTTTAAATATATATTTTCCACCTATTCAGACCACAGATTTTATTTCTAAGGTTTTTTCAAAATTTGCGGATTGGCTTTGTGACAACACAGTTATAGCAGGTGATTTTAATTGTTTTTTCTCCTCAGTAGTAGATAAATGTCCTTCAACACAAAATCATGGTCAGATGTCGAATAGAGCCAAAGCTGTTTTGGATACCTGCAAAGAACTTGATCTGGTTGATACTTGGAGGGTGTTACACCCTAATGATAAGGAGTTTACATATTATTCAGCCGTTTATAAAACCAGTAGTAGAATTGACTTGATCTTCACCCCCAAAATTTCTTTTAGTAAAGTTGAGTATTGTAATATTGGGGATATTTTGATATCCGATCAAGCACCTGTCTGTATAGGCATAAATTTCAGTAACTTGACACTCCCTAAACAATGGAGGTATAATTCATACCTAAATTTTGACCCTAATTTTGAAGGTTTTTTAACAGAACAGATGAATCACTTTTTTGTAGAAAACAAAACTCTGGGTGTTTCCCCAGGGTTACTTTGGGATACAACAAAAGCATATGCTCGAGGTTTAATTATATCATATTCAGCTGGGCTTAGGAAAAAAAGTAGAAGAGAACAGAGAAACTTAGAGCTCAAACTACATGATCTACAGGCCAGATATAATTTGTCTCCCTCAGATGAACTAAGATGTGACATACAAAAAAAACCAAAAACTGCATTGGAAGCGATACTTACGAAAAAGGCGGAGAAATCAATGTTCTTTGTAAAGCAAAGAATGTACGAATTTGCTAATAAACCTAATCGCTATTTGGCTAATCTTTTGCGGGTTAGGACATCTACTCAAAATATACTTTGTATTAAAGATTTGAATGGTTCTTTGAATTATAATAAGGAAATTAATAATAGTTTTAGAATTTTTTTGAGCAATTGTACACATCTCAATTTAATTATAGTGCGGAAATTAATATGGAAGCTTTTTTTACAAACCTATCTCTTCCTCAAATTTCAGATGACCAGAGAAAGATATTAGACGCTCCATTAACTCTCAGTGAATTTAAGAATAGTATTCAATCTCTCCCTAATAACAAGGCACCAGGTCCTGATGGTCTCAGTGCAGAGTTTTATAAAAAGTTTGTCAGTATTTTATCTGGCCCATTACATGAAATGATTCTTCACTCATTTGAAAAAGGGGTCCTTCCCCCTTCAATGATGGAAGCTAATATTTCCTTGGTACAAAAAAAGGTAAAAAGCTGTTGAATGCTCCTCTTATAGGCCCATATCTGTTTAAAATATAGATTCTAAGCTTTTTGTCAAAGTACTGGCTTCTTGATTGGAGTCAATACTACCTTCTATTATTAATAACGATCAGACAGGATTTATACGGGGTAGATTCTCATCACATAATATAAGAAGGCTTTTTAACATTATTAAACATTGTTCTTTGTATAGCCCAGACTCACTGGTTATATCACTTGATCCAGAAAAGGCTTTCGATCGGTTGGAATGGCCATACCTTTTTTTTGTGCTTAAAAAATTTGGGTTAGGGGCTGACTATATTATTTGGATCTGTATATTATACAATTTTCCTCTTTCTGCTGTAATTACTAATAGTCTTAGATCTAGTAACTTTAATATTGAAAGAGGTACAAGACAAGGATGTCCATTGAGCCCTTTACTTTTTGCCCTGGCAATGGAACCCTTAGCGGTTAAAATAAGACAGGATACAAATATCCAAGGTATCTCTTTAAAGGATCAACAGCATAAAATTTCGTTATATGCTGATGATGTTTTGATTTACTTAGAGTCCCCTAAGAAATCTATACCTAATTTGATGACACTAATTAATGATTATGGATCTTTCTCTGGTTACAAAATAAATTTTTCTAAGAGCGAAGCCATGCCTCTTAATAATTCGCATAGATTAAATCCTAGTATATCGCATCCATTTCAGTGGTCCCCCGGGGGCTTTTATTACTTGGCCATAAAAGTTTCCTCTCAGATATCAGACTTATAAAGTCTAAACTTCATTCCCCTTTTACAATCGGTAATACAAAATGTGGATAGGTGGTGTGCCCTACCATTATCCTTACTGGGTTGTATTCATCTCATTAAAATGAATGTTCTTCCACGCTTTCTCTACTTATTTCAAATGCTCCCTATTAAAATTACTAAAAAAGTTATAGCCCAGTTGAATAGTTCTATAATTTCATTTATTTGGGCTAAAAAAAAGACCAAGACTACGATATAGTGTCCTTATTCTCCCCATTAAATCAGGTGGTTTAGCTGCCCCATCCTTTTTATATTATTATCTGGCTGCTCAGTCTAGGTTTCTTTTAGAATAGCTTATAGATGACCCAGAATCTACTTGGATTGGACCTGAAGCTGCATCCCTGGACAGGATTCCCCTACATAATTTGCTTTATATCTCAACTGCTAAAGCTTCTGCTCTGATCAAAGGTAATAGTATTTTAAAGAATATGTTAGACATATGCTGACAAATTAGAAAACATTAAGGTTATGAGAATTGTTTCTCACTATCAACCCCTCTCCATGGAAATCCAGATTAACCACCAGGCCTTAGAGCTGGCCTAGAAGATTGGAGTAATAAGGGCATTAAAGTGGTGGGTGATATTATTCAGGATGGTACGATTCTCACATTCCAACAGATTAAGGATACGTTTAGTATTCCTAATGTGGACTTTTTTAAGTATCTACAGGTTTGAAACTTTATTTTGACAAAATATAGAGATTACCCAGGATGATTTGGTATTTCCCC